TTTTCCTCGAAATCGGCGAATTCTCTCGCTTTCTTCACTACCGATAAACTATTCCCGATCAATACTTCCGCTTTTCGAATAAAAACGGGTACCTCAAAATTATCGTGAACTGTGCCTTCAATGGCAGTTCATCGACTTTGGTTGGTATTTTTTTCTTCAACAACTAAAAAGCCTTGAGCCGTCATAACAGCATACCTACCAAAAGGGAGAGTGCAGCACGCTATCAGAGTACTTTGAAACTCTCGAAGATCGGATTCGTCCTGTGCGAGGATCGTACATCTCTACAGAAGGACATAGAATGATTAGAACACACAAATACCATTGTACAGCGTACAAGCGCGAGGAAACTGAAGAACGGAAAAAAGAGCGAGAGAGAGGATGAATGAGGGAGATACTTCACAGTGCTTCTACTGAACGAAATTTTACTCTCAATCTCAATCCCTTCCGATATTGCAGCATATGTAGCAACTGCTACCATACAGTACATGTTAAAAGGCGGCAAGCTCTACACTCGTCGAGGTGGGTCAACGCGTGCACCGACATGTGAAGATCAAGAAGTGCGTGTGATCTGACCTTTGATCTTTGGCCCGACCGGGGGGTATAAATAGCCGGAGGGCTTCTCAATCGATTCATTCTTGGACTTGGTGGTCTGCAATCCGGCAATACCGTATCCGCAATTTCCAATACCAATACTCAATATCCGACACAATATCCGTCACAATACCCTACCACAATATCGGACTAAACAATACAAAGGAAAAGAAGGAATACTTGTTAGTGTCTTTTGTATTAACAAAGTGTAACACCAAGCCGTGCACTCGAGCAGTTCAGAGGTATCCGCGTGGCAAATCACATAGTTTTTGGGCGAGCAACCTCCACACACTAGTGACCACAGTATTCTCGATAGGGACCTGGTTGAACTAAAGATTTTTTGTTATTTTAGAGCCATCCCGCAGCGATTCAATGTGACCTTACACAGGCTTTTTGGACTCATCTCTCAAGAAACGGCTATGAAAACACGAGTTTCCCAGGAAATCATCAAAACCATGTACTGTCGCAGATGCACCAGGGGGATGGCCATCTCGAAAAGAAATGAGAACTTCTAATATCTTCTTTCTTTCTTTGACATCTGAAATGTTTTGACATCAGAACTTAATGTTATGCGCTTTGCGGTTTTTGTTGGGGTTTTTCGTGTTCTTATTTCCCAACCTTCGTGGATGCTATACTGGCCCGTCCTGAATTTCGAATGAACGTTACGGGAAGGGTCTTCAGTTTCTTTTGCCCAGAAAATGGAAGCTTCCAAGCCCATCTTCAAGATATTGATTACGAACTACCCTAGTTCTCGAATAGTAACTGCGCGTAGCTCCTGTGAGACCACGGAATACCGATGTCCACATTTGTTGGGCGTCTCCATGTCCGTTAAAAATGCTGTAGCAAGCCACTCACACAGTACCGACGAACAGAGGATTTGAAATGAAAGCATGAAAGCATTATTAGGACGATTCCTTCAAAAATCTCCAAGGCTGAATTTACCCTCGAAAAATTTAATTCTCACATCCTGTTGCTGGTTACTAATGACCAAAAGCGTTCACGATAGCAAAAGACCAAGCCTGAGATTCTAATTATTCATGAAAACCCCGATTCAAAAGAGTGAGCCGAAAGCTCTGCTGTGAAGCCCTTAGGAGGCTCCAAGTTCAAAAACGAAAAGAAAACAGATTAATTGCGTTGACATAATGTTTTCAGATTGCCTTTTATGCGGGACTGTGTTAGCAAAAAGTCATTACATTCAGTTAAAATCCCAATTAATTACATTTGATTACGTAGAGCTTTAATTACTTCATCGAATGTTCCTTTGAATTATACGGTAAGTTTCCAAATTGGTGAGAAAATCATCCCAAGAACTAGTAGTTGTATTGAGGAATTAGGAACCATCCTAATATGTATATACCAAAAGGGATGGACGAGTGAGTTTCGTTCCAACAGATTCACACCTTTAGTGAAAATAACACTAAATTCGAAACAGTGATAGAAAGGAATATTACAATTACATGACGGAGAAGAAATGAAAATTTTTCTCCATGACTTACATGACTATCAATACAACGTTCGAGATCAGGTTTCTACGACGTCTTTAAGCGTGAAATGAGGTGGCAATCATTGCGCTACGGTAATTAGTCTGGTGATTTACACGAGCAAAATAGCCGCTCATGAGCAGCAATCTCTAGAGCCCATGCTCAACCGACTGAGGTGGGACGGTATTGTATAATTGACATTGAGAGCTCGGATCTTTTGCCTCATATTTTTTTGTTCTTCGTAATTCGCCATTCAAAAGCTGCCAAATAAAATGGTCCGTTTCTTATTCCCCAAGCGCAGCCGCCTGCATTTTGAAATTCACGAAACATGAGATTCTCCTTCATGTCTGTTTTCTTCTTCTTTGGTGCTTAAACTGGTAGTGGAGGGGAGGTAGTAAACAACTATTGACAACTCATTTGATTAAACCTCATGTCTAATCCTCAGTATGTATAAATCAAAAGTGTGGTGTGTCTAATTGTTCGTTCCTCTGTTCGATTGTTTGTTGGGGTCTTTTACGAAACCCAGTTTTACCTGAAAAAGCACCTGGAGAAATCGGGCCAAGTTTGGAATGGGTGGAGTCTAGGGCACGATCAACAGAGCACTATGACCCAGGTGGAGCTCCGCACAACACAGGGGCAGAACATGCACCGGAATGAACTATTCCAGAGGCTAAAGTACTCACTTGGGCCCGGAAAAGTTCAGAACAGGAAAAATGGTGAAAGGTGAGGAATGGGTAAACGAATCGGACGAAGAAAACTAATCCGCAGCATGAAGAGCATCTACAAAGAAGGGCTACTTTCTGTCTGGATTCAACACGGTTCCAACAAAAAGTCCATGAGTCAGAAAAAATTGTAGCTGTGAGAAAGCTCTAAGGGTGCCATACATGAGTATGTCAGCTCAGCAAAGCTCCGTAGAAAAGCTTCAATATGAAAGTTCTTTCTTACAACAATTCACAAGTTCATTGATAAACTCTCTAGAAATCTCCAAAAAAGTGAATTGAACAGTAGGTGGGACGTGCACAGAAGTGGGCGCAGCTTAGAACAAACTACACTGGTGTGCAAAACTTAGGGACGAGATGGATAATGTACCGTAAAACATAGAGAACTGGGTGAAAATAAATGAAAGTGTGGGATTATATTGCCAAACCTATGACGGTTATGCACCGGAAGTTGGACATCCCTTCGTGGTGGAATAGTTCAAATAAAGCGAGAAATATAGCTACCCGCACAAACTGAAGCAGCTGATAGGTTCGAAAAAAAATTTTTTTTTGTCAATCAGCCAGTAGCTACCAAGTACTGTGGTAATATCCTTCTACACATCATATCCCGCAGACATCGTCTGGATGACCTGGCACCAGGAAGGATCATCGAGAAACTCGAAGAAGGTTGAGCCATGACAAGTGCAGCTCAAAAACCTGGTATTGCTCACAGCGTTGTTTCACGTGCACGGAGAGCATTCCGGACCTCTGATACTGTTGCACGAGGGAGAGGAGGTGGTAAACCAAGAACAACTACACTGAGGTATGACCACTACATTGTGCAGCAGGCAAGAAAAGATCCACGCCAGTCAGCTTCTTTGATTGCAATGTCATCTACCAGGGTTTCTAAGCAAGCCATCCCACGCACTACCGTGGCACGGCGACTGCACAGTTCGCCCGACTACCACTACGTAGTGTTTCTTTGACCCTCGCGAATCGGCGAGACCATCTAGGGTGGTGCCAGGAGCATAGCGAACGGACCGATAAGAAATGGGGACTTTTGCTTTTTTCGGAAGGGAGCAGATTCAGTCTGAGTAGTGATTCTGGACGCACTCTCATGGCCAGAGGTGGGGACACGCACATCTCTCAGAAACGTTGTGGAACTTGATTGTTCTAGTAGTCGAGGTAGTATGATATTGGGAGGCATCATGCTTCGTAACCGTACTGACTTCCAGATTTTTGATCGTGAGACCCTTAACAGTCGACGTTACTGTAAAAAGACCCTTCCTAATGTGTACCTTTTCAGGGCTGCAAAGAGCCCTGAATTCATTTCCATGGATAACAATGCGCGACCGCATCGAACAGCTCAGGTGGAAGAGCTCTCGACACAAAAGGTTATCCAGCGAATAGAGTAGCCTGCCGTTCCCCCGGCCTGTATCCAATCGAGCACGTGTAGTATGCACTGGGTAGAGTCGTCGCAGCACGTCCAAATGCACTACTGTCCATCCAGCAATTGTCAATTGCGTTGATAGAGGAGTGGAATGCCCTACCACAATGACTTATTTCCAACTTCGTGTAAAGTATGTGATCGCGTTGCAGAGCATTTACTGCTGTCCGTGGTGATCACACACCCTATTAGGAACCGCGTCGCTTTTTTTGATGTACTAGGATAANTTGTGATTAACTATGTGTAATCGCTACCTTTCAATAAAAATGTCTCATTTGCTCGTCCTATTTCGAATTTCTGCCAGTTGCTTTCTCTGCAGTACCGTAATTATCCTCTATTGGTACGGTATCAATTTCATCGAGCTCTGTTGTCTGGCAGAGGTACAGTAATCAAAAGTTACTTTTGTCCCTAAGTTTTGCACACCAGTGTATAATAACTATGCTAACTAAAATAGGCAGTCGATTTAAAATAGGGAGTTCTGTTCAGGATCTAAATCCACGGTGACTCTCAAAAATGTTCTAGAAAAATTGAACGAATGTGAGAAGGAAAATCCCTTCTATATACCGTACTCGTACATTAATCATCAATGCCCGGTCCACGCTACCGTAATCCTACCGCACTGTTCTTCCTACAGTATTCTATCATACCCTTATCAGCACGTCTGAACACGGGCACGAGGCCATCTGCTTCCATAATCCTAATATCTTTTCTTATCCTAACCTGCATATTTGGTCCGATTTGAATTAGCGCCTCGTAACCTATCACACCGTAACGTGCCCAACTGAATCATGATTCGAATCTATTACTGTAACCTATGTACAGGGTGGTGAATGTGTTTTGATTAGCAAAAAAATTAACACCACAAGTTGTTTTCCAGCCTACAGAATTCACGAGTGGAGTGGAACAATCAGGTGACGAGATGCGCCATATACTTAGTTATCTCCTAGAATGTTGCGGCAAATGAATGTGTGTCCAAGTGTCATCAACAGAAGAAACTTGATTCTCGTACAATTTATTTCCTGACAACGACTACTTTAACAATAGAATAATCGGACGCGCTCTATACCTGACTTCCACTAAGAAATTTGAAGGTCATAAATACCAAAAAAAGTCACGACCGAAATGATTTCCTTTCCATAGCGATCATTAGGTGGCGAGACGAGCAATATATTTCCCTATCTCTCAGATTGCCGACTACGAATGAACGCGTGCCCACATACCACCGGCAAAAGGAGCTTGAGCCTCATAGAGTTATTTTGTCAACGAATACTCCAACAATAAATGATGCTACGCTATTGACCTCCACTTGAAATTCTGGAAGCCGTGTAAACAAAAAAAACATTCCCTTATAAGGAGACTTCCTCCCGACGACTACATACAACGGCTATAAACTGACGAGATGGACCCATTCGTTGCTATCTTTTACTAAATGGAAAAGGCTTCCAATGGATGCGTACCACGTTATCGAAGGAATCTTGATTCCTATGATCCTCACTATATATGAACCACAAATTTATGTTGTGTGTCTATTTACTTATTTTTGTCTGTCTGCCTGATTGTCTGTCTACCTGTCTGTCTATCTTTCTGGCCGTCTGTCGTCTGCCTGTCTGTCTGTTTGTTTTATGCATACCAGCTTGTCTGTCCCGAAATTCGGTATTACCCGAAGAAGAACTTCAAAAGGTTGAGCCAATTTCGGAGTAGGTGGAGTCTGAGGCAAGATCAACAGAGCACAATATGGGCTCTGTGGAAGCGTGTATACAGGGAGCTGGACATGCATCGAAATGTGTGGTCTTAAAAGTAGAAATACTAATTTGAACCGAGCAGAAGTTCAGATTTCGGGAAAAACGAGCAATGGTGAGCGATCGGTCTGCTAATTAGACGAAAAACCTAGCCGAGAGTGGGAAGAGCATTCCTGAAGCGAGCGGTGCTTTCTATGTGGATTCATAATTAGGGTTCTAGTAATAGGCATAAAGGCCAATAAAAACTGTAGTAGTAAGCAATGTCTGAAGTTTGCTATGTATGCGGAAACCCAGCAAAGCTCCGTCCCTAGAAGGGCTCCCTGTTTTTTCGATGGAAGGTGCTTTTTACAGTAATACTCATAGCCTGCTTCAAAAACCTTCTAGGAACCGGGAATAAGTGGCCGGAGGTTATCGATGGAAAGTGGCCAAACTCAATAGTGGGTGGGGCTTGCACTGAG